AGAGATCACTTAGCCTACGAACGAAAAAACACCCAGGGCAAACACGAGTGGCAATTCACATAAGCATGTGGGAGAGCAAACATATGCTGAAAGCTGATGGAGGACTGGGCCCTTCAATCAATGCACGTTTTGTCTTTTGCAAGGACCTTCAATGTCACAATTCAGTGATCAGTCAACTGATCACTGAACTGAAGGCGCTTTTTAGATTTGATCACATACGGTGTAATTGCAGGGTCATTGGAAGACTAGTGGGTTCCCCAGACGCCTTACACGCCGCAGTCTGAGAATAGCCTTGCGTCTTACTTTTTGTCCCCCATCGCCTTTTGCCCCTGCGCGCTGTATCCAAACAACTCTTCCCCGACTGGTGACAGCTCACGGGAAGTCCGCTCGCACTGTTTAGGCTAGTCGCCTTCTACAACGACGAGGAGGCGGCTTTGGCCGAACTCCTGCCTGGACCCTCAGCGCCTCCGGAGCTCGGGAGGGCCGGGGTGAAAGGGTCAAAGGGTCAAAGGGTCAAACCCCACCATTCAGAAGGAGATCTCATCCGTTGGGCTGTAAGCCGAGGTTCGGCAAGTTGGGAAGTAGGAATTGTTGCAAAAGGAAGACGACACTCTGGCCGATTGAGCTTCGCATCAGCCCAGGTCATTTTTGCAAATGCGGAGCTTTTTGCACGTGCTTTTTCAAGCGACGTCAGGTGTTCCATAGGCCCAAGTCCTGAGTGCTGACTTTGCTAAAGCCACAAAAGCCAAGCGAGCAGCGGGCATTGATTGCGTCACTTTCTGAAGGTGCATCAGTCCAAATGGGAATGAGCCGTTGTTATTTGTAGCATTCTTTCCCATAGATGTTGGCTGATTGCAAGACACATCGCTCCTAGGCAGAAGAGAGACAAAGCGCCAGCGTGCAGTGACAAACTGACAATCAGTTTGATTGGCTGGTAAGTTGTTTCTTAGGAGCACCTGGAGGACATGTTAAGTTATTGCACCGCCGGTTGCTGATGCCACAGGCAACAGCTCAATGTCACACCGCACCATTCTTTCGCCAGCCTTCAAGGGTGTTCAAGGGTGAAGCATGCAGGAGGCGGCGCTTGGTGCAAGTATTTGGTGATCAGCTTGATCGGTTAGGTCTTTCATGAAAGCTTGGTTGCTGTACTTACATCAAACGGCCCTTCCGCAAACTAGCGCATTGGACAAGCCGCTGCCCTCGAGCCAACCAGCTAACTGGTCAGTTTCGCTTGCCGCCGCTTTCAGTTCCATAGCACGGGTCTTCCGAGAGCTTTTGGTCTCATGGCGACAGGCGATGGGTTGCGTCACGGCGCGGATTTTGGTTTGGCTGCCAAGAGAGACGGTTGACAATTTCTGTGTGTGTGTGTGTTTTTGTGTTTGCAGGTCAACTGAAGGTACATCAACGTGCTGTGTCCACCATGCGTGTTTGGGTGTTTGTACTTGGCCATTTGTGTTTGAGTTTGTTTGGTAGATGTGCTTGTGTGTTTGGGTATTTGCGTATGCTTGTATCTCGGGTGTGGCTGCATTTGGGTGGTTCCCAACCGCGAGGTTGTGTGAGTGTGTGTGTGTGTGGGTGCGTGTGTGCGTGTGTGCGTGTGTGCGTGCGTGCGCGCGTGCGTGCGTGCGTGCGTGCGTGCGTGCGTGCGTGGGTGCGTGGGTGCGTGGGTGCGTGGATGCGTGGGTGCGTGGGAGCGTGGGTGCGTGGGTGCGTGGGCGCGTGGGTGCGTGGGTGCGTGGGTGGGTGGGTGCGTGGGTGCGTGGGTGCGTGGGTGCGTGGGTGCGTTGGGTGCGGTGGGTGCGGTGGGTGGGGGTGGGTGGGGTGGGGTGGGGTGGGGTGGGGTGGGGTGGGGTGGGGTGGGGTGGGGTGGGGTGCGGTGCGGTGCGGTGGGGTGGGGTGGGGTGGGGTGGGGTGGGGTGGGGTGGGGTGGGGTGGGGGGGTGGGGTGGGGTGGGGTGGGGTGGGGTGGGTAGGTGGGTGGGTGGGTGGGTGGGTGTGTGGGTGTGTGTGTGTGTGTGCGCGTTTGTGTTTGCAGGTTAATGAAAGGTACGTCAGCATGCTGTGGCCAAATGTGTGTTTAGGTGTTTGTACTTGGCCATTTGTGTTTGAGTTTGTCTGGTGGATGTGCTTGTGTGTGTGTTTGGCATATGTTTGTATCTCAGGTGTGGCTGCATTTGGGTGGTTCGCAACCGCGAGGTTGTGTGAGTGTGTTTGTGTGGGTGCGGTTCTGTGCGAGTGTGTGTGTGTGTGTGTGTGTGTGTTTCTGTGTGTACGTCATTATTGGTGTCCTTGCTTTCCGTTCCCTTTATCTTGGTTTGTTTCGTCCTGTTTTGTTCTTCCAGCCGTTCTTCCTTTCTTCCAACATATGTTTGGTTGTCCCTTTTCTTTCCTTCTTCCTTCCTGTGCTGGCTGGCTGGCTGGCTGGCTGGCTGGCTGGCTGGCTGGCTTGCTTGCTTGCTTGCTTGCTTGCTTGCTTGCTTGCTTGCTTGCTTGCTTGCTTGCTTGCTTGCTTGTTTCTGTGCATTGTTACAGTTTGCATGTGTGTGATCAGAGTGTGTTTGACTTGGTTCATGCTTCAGGTGGAGAAGCTTTCTTTTGGACCGTCCTTTTGATGCATGTAGAGTGGTCCAGTTCCTTTGGGCCGTTCGGCCGAGTCCAAAGATGTGTGAGACTTCACTTCCTGCAGGCGGCTACACGAATGGCGACGCGAAGAAGGCACCACGCGGCCTGGCCAAAGACGGGAGGCACGCCGGTAAAGGACCTCAAAACGACTAGACGGCTTTCTTTGGGGCCAAGGTGGCCCACAAAAAGCCGGTGTTTTGAGTGTGTGTTGTTTTTAGGTGTGTGGTCATGAGTTTCATTCAATTCGCACCCTTATCTTAGGACAGATGAGCCTCAAGGAACAGAGGGTTGCAGATTTTCGCAGGCACATGTAGACTACCACCTGTTCCCAGCGGCCGGCATTTTGACATTCACATGGCAAAGCGAGTGTTGTTTGTTCTCCCTTCCTCTAAGAAAGCCATCCAGCCAGGCCAACATATTGCCATCACCCAACTTGTCGCTCACAGTTGCCAAGATGCTTGCCAGTTACACAGGCAGCGGCATGGTTCACAAAGCCTCTTAGATTCTTTGCTTACAGGGGAAACCATGGCCTGAGGGGCCTATGAGCACCCCATCGCCATCCTGGGTGGTGGCATGGGCGGCTTGATGACTGCTGTGGACTTCCTGAGGCAGGATCAGATGCCAGCCGCCTTGTTCGATGGAATATCCTGTGTTCTCCATGTGTTTTACTACACAACAAGATGCCCACCGCTATGTTTCTTTTTTCTGTTCTTTTTGTAGTTTGGATGTTGCTTGACAGCATGTGAGAATGTGCAGTGGCACACCTTAGCAGTGCCTTCCGGCATAGTAGTTGAAAAGGCCCGCTGCGCAAGCACGATAGAGGCTTCTTCTAAAAGGTGTATACTTGAGCCGCAAATGCGATGTGTCGTGTCAGACGTTAATTGTGCCGGGACCTGTCGGTTCATGCTGCGCAGCGGCAAGCTTCAAGATCGAGTGGTGCGCCAAGAAAGTCCTATGATACAAAGCAAAGCAAGAAGTTGATTTCTTTGATTTGCCCCTTTGTGAATGGAGCTCTTGTATGCTCTTGTAACCTCCGGCGCCCCTCGCGTTTCCTACTTTTAATCCAAAGCGTGGAGACGTGGGGTGTGGGGGTTGGGTTTGGAACCGTCATGTTTGTCAAATTCCGTTCCCGCCTGCCAGGAACGGCCGGACAGATTTCGTCATTTTGGAGCGAAGCTCGGCAAATTTTCGCTTTGCACTCCATGCGCTGTGCCGTGAGAACCACAGTGTAGATTTATGGGGAGCGATCTCAACCCAAACCTTTTGTGGCGCCTTTATCGTCCCCTGGTGTTTTGGGGTAGCTTCCATTTTGCTTAGAAGACCTCAAACGACAAACGTTATTGAAGCCATGGCAAGACAGCTGAACGCTGGCCAGACTGCACGGGCTTGCTCTTTGATCCTCATTCTCGTGCAGAGAGGTTGCTGCCTTGTGATTGACGCTGTGACGGGGGCTGCTTTAAAGTGCCTGGTGGCAATGTCACATTGCGTGGTGCGCGTTTGAGTGGTTAGTTAGTCCTTTATTCAGTGGGTGGGCAGCTGTTGGGACTTCCATGCATGGCACGGGCTTTTCCCCTTGTGAAACCCCGCTTTTGCTTGCAAGGCACATTGACAACCGTCAGAATGGGCAGACTGCCTTTGACGAGAGCTCTGCTTCAGTCGCTGCCGCTGAGGCTACGACTCTTTTGGAGGCACTACCTGGCGAGACGTCGCCAATGAGACGACCAAGCTGCAGACCGAGAAGGCGAGGGTTGAGAAGCAGCGCTTCGACCCGTTTTTCTCCACGGGCCAGCAGCGCTTAGGTAAGAGTTTGCTTGGCCAATTTTTCGAAAGCTTCAGGGCCGACAGAGAAGAGATCTTCACCTACAATGCATTTGCCTTTGAGGAAGCTCTCCATTCTTACTCTAGGGCCAAAGCATCAGCTTCGTGAAAGCATCAGCTTGGCACTGAAGGACAGCCACAGCCACAGCTGTCCAAGGGCGAGGGACTTGGGCTAGGCCACAGCTACAGCCACGTTCTACAGGCTCGAGCTGGACACTTGGTTGGGCCGCGTGGCCTGCCGTAGCATCCAAAGGCAAGAAGCGCAAGAAAGCCGAAGCACGAAGAATTAAACAATAAATAGCGGGTAGGCTCAAGAACTAAGGCTGGGGCTAGCTGAACGGATGCCAGCTACGCGGCTTGGCTGTGGCCAGCCATGAACACCAACAGCCCAGGTTGGGCAGCCACTTGTCACGGCTGTGCTCTAAAGCCATAGTTCAAGGGCAAGTCACTGGGCCAGGGGAAGCGCCAAGAGCTCAAAATATGGCTCGTTAAGTGGCGCAAGTAGGGACTGGCTGGGTGGCCTTTGCGCACGTGCTTGGCCCTGAAGCCAGAGCTACAGCCGTTGTCTAAGGGCAAGAAGCCGAGCAGAGCAGCCAAATACAGCTGGAGCATGAGTGTCGCGGGGTGGTCTTACACCAACAGCAACTGTTTTTGTTGCAGGGGACTTACGTGCCGGAGTACCTGGACCCAGAGGTGCACGCAGCGGAGGCCAGAGACGAAACGTGTCCAGTCGTGCTCAATGGCTTTTTTGGAACGGCGTTAGAAGTTAGAGCTGCTTAACGTGAACATGACACTGGGATTGGGTGGGATGTTTCAACGATTACGTGTCATGTTGATTGTTTTTTGTGCGCTTTTGCAGCGGCTGCTGTCGGTTGCTGTTATTTTTTTGGCTGTCGCCGCCGTTGTTGCCCCCAACGGTTCAAAAGCGAACCGAAATCAAAATACAAATGCTGTCCTTGCCCACGGAACCAACTGTATGCAGCATGTGGTTTCCAGATTTTCTAAATCC